ATATTTTTAGTAATGCGTATACTATGCCTTCATCTCGTCTCAATTATAAATGCAGGTCAAATTTCATTGGTGAGCCATTTGTCCTAAATTACTCCCTACTCATACAACATTCACCCACTGGCATCCTGTCAGCCTAAACTATGCAATAAAAGGAGGCGTTGACAACAGCTGCTCCTTCTGACTCATCTCTCTCCCAGCCTTACTATAAAGAATGTTACTATAATTTTTTAGATGAAGCGAGTAAGTTTGCTGATGTAGACTTATTAGTAAGAAAACCCGAGGAACAGTGGGTGGCTTCCTATGGGCATGCAAATGTGCTTATCCCCCACCCCCATTGCGTATGCCTACATGTTTTAAAGAAGGTGGCATTTTTGCTGGAGTTAATGCTGAAGCCTCTTGCACGCACAGTTTGGAATATATCCAGTTGTTACCTTAACACCTGTATGTTGTTCCAATGGTGTAACAGGCTATTTATCGGGGGGGGGGGGAGAGATGATGAGGTTGGCATGACATCAGGCCCAGCCAGCATGCTTTTAGATGACCCATTGAATCCTTTCGCTTCTAAGAGAATGAGAAATTCAATTTCGTTCTCCCTTCAAATAGCTAATCAATGACACCTTCAAGATCCACCCCCTGTTCCTTTGCATTTTTGTAATTGCCTCCCTCATGCCTCCTCTTTGGTACAATTGGCTTCCTGCCTGTTTCCTTTCAGGTTGTTCCTAAAAAACAGTTATTGCAGTTTGCTTTTAATTAGGAGTTAATGGTTCTGTTAATGTATGTTGTTTTTAATGGCTGTGGCTGTGAGTTAGGGTTTTGTATTTTATAATGGGATTGCTGGCTTGAGATCAAATGGTTATACAGAGCTTTCTATTTTAGTACCTTAAAATTACATTATTTCATATTTTTACACCACTTTGGAATTTTTTGTGCTTTGAAAGGTGGCTAAGAAGTTTCCAAAAGTAAATAAATAACATATTACCAAATTACACATTTAACATAACTTGTAGTCACTAATATACCAGTTTTTAAGCATTTTGTGAATACAGAACTGTAGTAAAGTCTTATTGAGAAGCAAAGCAGCAAATCTTCATTTAATCCATCACTTAGAATCTGATAAGGCATATAGCTTCTTTTAAGAGTTTAAAGGTAAAGGTACCCCTGACTATTAGGTCCAGTGGTGGACGACTCGGGTTGCACGCTCATCTCGCTCTATAGGCCAAGGGAGCATCTATTGAATTTCCTGTTCGTACATGTATTTTATTTATTTGTGTATTTATTCAATTTCTGGTATTTCTTACCCACCCTTCACTCTCAGGTACCAGTATGGGTTAGATACCAGTATGGGTTAGATAAACTAAAATACAACCACAAAATAATGAATCCTCGAAAACCCAAAAAATAATGACAAAATCATAACAACATTCTTGCTTCACTTCCAAAGGCCAGGGTAAACAGGTGCATCTTAAGTAGCTAATGGAAAATGTAAAGTGTTGTGATTAGTGCACCTCTATGGGGATGGAGTTGCACAGTTTTGGAGCCACAAAAGCCACCATTCCCTGGACCTCTGAAGGTGATGGTGCTAACAGTAAGGCATCATCTGCAGATCTGAGTACATGAGCTGATACCTATGGAAAGCAGCAGCACTCATCCAGATATTAGAGACACATAGGGCTTTATAGACTAACAATTTGGGTAGAAACTTCAGAATAAGTGCAGTAAGAGTACTTGCAGTCATATTGTAGCAAGGGGTCAAACCCTATAAAAACTCCTAAGTCTTTGGCCAACGAGACTCAGGATCTGGGAGAAGATAGAGTTCAGCCAATATTTTATTACTTAGGAAGCAATAGGTTACAGTCGGATCGTTCTGCAAGAACTGTAATCCCCCAGCTAGCGGTCTAGGGGGGTTATTTATAAGTTTCTACACAAAGCCTTTTAATTTCATCCAATCATATGTATAGAAATATTTCACATTACCGCATCCTAATTGTTGGATACATTTCAGGTTAGTATGCTTGCGCAATAAGCACCGGCTGTTTCTGCTGACTAGGCTTTGATTCCCACCGTGTCTGCTATGGCCTTCATACAGGAATACATTGTGTTACACAGAGCTATTGTGCTTTGTAAACCTGTGTGTTTAGCTGCGTGTGTTCTGTGATAAAAATGTTAGCTTCTTCTCTTCCCATGGGAAAGGCCTTTTGCATTCTCAGCAATTTCAAAGCTTTCGCATTAACAGTTTCATAGCTTTTTCTTAAAGCGAGATAGCATTTTCTTAAAGCGATATACTATCAATTTTTGTGGCCCTTGGGGTCCTCCCTCAATATCAGACATTATCCTGGCTTCCATATTCTGCACTTCTAAATAGTCTGATCCAGGGGTTAACAAAGCATGGGGTAAGTGTCCAAGACAGCTCTGAACAGGAGGTAACACAGTGGTGAACCAGTCATAGCTGGAAAGTAGGCACTCTACTAAGGCAGCATGGGGTCTTTCCTGTTAAGTGCAGCTCCTTACAGAACAGGCTGCCTCATCACATAACAGACTTAGGAACTTAACAGACTTAGGAACAGCCAGTCCATTTCTACCCCAGGCACAAGTCTAGCACCCATCTTCCTCCTAATTCAGATCATATGGGGGTGACAGATAAGTATATGCCTCCACAAGAAGCACAGAAGATGTAGACAAGCCACCCACATTTAAAACAGGACACTATCATTGCCATGTCAACATATTACCGTTAAAGTACTATGAAATTTAGAATTTGGAACCCCTTTGATATTCAAATGGATTGTGATGTGCTCACTAGAATAAGGAGCACCTGGGAATTCTAGTGGGTGTGATAATCTGGGGAAACCCAACCAGATGGGTGGGGTACAAATAAAATAATAATAATAATAATAATAATAATAATAATAATAATAATAATAATTGTATTTTGCTTTGCACTCTGTTTATGTTCTGGATCTGCTTTACACAAACTCACCCTCCCAGTTTAGATTTAGGAGACATTATTTCATCCAGGAGCGAAACAGAGTCAGGCACTTCATATGTTCAAAGTCTTGGTCTTTGCCATTCCCAATATGCACCTGACATAGGATATGTAATGAGTGGCGGACCTGAGTCTGTAAATTTCTGAGATTGAATTTGGTGGAAGCATCTCATTAAAAACAGGTGTGGTAAAAGAGTTAATTAAAAGAAATGGATTCTTAATTTGGGGGTCCCTCCTGAGGCACAAATTGAGGATATTTGAACACACTGCCAGATGTGAGGGTGCAAATTGCCTTTCAGAAATATTCTATTCTATTCTCTATTCATACCACAGTCCTTTTTAGGAGTGCTTTGGAAAATATTTCCACACCTTTCTCTTGCATGCCTTTATAAAGAACTTCTGGAGTCAAGACTTTGTCAATGACATTGCAGCAAAACCTTCCTGGAACTCAGCCATGCTGACAAACACAAGCTGCGTTCTAGGATCTTTAAAGAGAGAGCACTAGAATATCATTCTACAGTGCCTTTTCATTCCAGCTTCTCTGTGGTAGAATGAGAGCAGGTTTAAAACACTAAACTGGAATGTTACTGCCAAGGTGTGAGTGCATTTTCTGACTGAAATGTGCAGTTCTGCAACCTTCTTATGCTATTCTGTAATAGAAGGATAGTGAAGCTGCAAGTTTGAGCTTGCCCTGACTGCTGACAAATCTGTTGTCGGTATGGTTGGACTCTCTCTTGACTTTCTTCCCAGTGTAGGTGACCTCTGGCAGTTTAACAACTTCCTGGAAAGATACTGCAAATAAGCATAGAGTAAAGCAGTTTTTAACTTTCAGCTGCTGAGGGCTGTTCAAAGAGGGGGACAGTGAACGTTAAACAGCAATTTTTCAAACAGAAAAAATGTTTTAGGTGGCAGAGTTCTCTCTCCCCTATTGCAATAGAAGTATTATTTTAGATTTCACATTATTTTCCCCTCTCTGTTCTTTGATACTAATATCATCATCATTTGCAGCAGCAGCATAGAAACACTAGGAATCGGAGAATTAAGTGGGTTTCAAAAAAATGAAACAAGGAATTCATACTGTGTTTCATAATGTATAACACCCCAATCCTGAATCTTCTTTGGAGGAAGCCAAATTTGTTTCAGTGGGGTTGCCTTCTATAGTATTAGCACCATAGCCCAACAGTGCAATCCTATGCATAATTTCTCATAAGTATATCCTATCATCAACAGTTTTTACTCAAGTAAGTGTGCAAAGGATTGCAGTCTGAATCAAATCACTGAGGGCCTAATTTGTACACAAGGGCCAGTGTGGTGTAGTGGTTAAGAGCGGTAGACTCCTAATCTGATGAACCGGGTTCGCGTCTCCGCTCCTCCACATGCAGCTGCTGGGTGACTTTGGGCTAGTCACACTTCTGTGAAGTCTCTCAGCCCCACTCACCTCACAGAGTGTTTGTTGTGGGGGAGGAAGGGAAAGGAGAATGTTAGCCACTTTGAGACTCCTTCGGGTAGTGATAAAACGGGATATCAAATCCAAACTCCTCCACTCCTCCTCCACAATTGATATAAATGATGTGGCCTGTTCCTGTGTCTATGTTTGTGAGCCTAAATTTCACTTCCCTTTCACTTTTGGAGAGGTATTCTATATACTCTATGACATTGTGTGTGTGTGTGTGTGTGTAATTACAAAGCTATTTTTTGCAACCATTTCCCCTGAAAAAAACTGAGCAAAACGGAGGGGGTAGGAAGAGAGTAGTTGTTCTTAAAATTGCACCATGTGGCCTGAATCAAAACTATGAGGAGACTGCAGAGAGGAAGAGAGAATTAAAAACCTAAATTCTCGGTTCAAATTCTAGCCTTGTATCCAGGATCAGCCAAATGATTAGGAATATTTCCAAATTAAGGGTGTTTAGCTGAGGCCTAAGATAAGTGAGTGAGACAGGGCCTGTTGCCTGCTTCAGTCTAGTCTGAGGGGAGGCCTCTTGTTTCTTCAGGGTAATGGCAGCAGCTTCTATATTGACTCTAAATGACGGCCTGTGTTTGATTTAGCAACACTTTGAGCCCGTTACAAATACTAATGTCCTCCTGCACCAGCTTAATAAGCTTTACTGTGGAGGATAGGCAACCCAGTCTCCATTGTCCCTGCAGCCCTTCGTATTTATAGCCACAAACTTTTGAATTGGCAGAGCCAAGAGAAACGGCACCGTTGTGACTCTGTGAGGGGTGAACGACAGGGCCCAGAAACCTTTGAGGGAAGGAACGTCTTTCATAGCTGTAGCCTGTACACAGCCTACCACATGTTCTCTTTGAGGGCAGGAATTCTCTACAGAATCAGCTTCTTTGTGTGTTTGCCTGAGGTAAAAAATAATAATAAATAAAGCAAAAGCTGTGTAACAGGTTCGTTACAAAAGCGCCTGACTTTCACACAAGCTTTGGACAGGTAAGGTGGAGGATGCCTTGACAGGTATGATTTGTGAGAGACAACTCGGTTGCCGGGCAAGAGGAGAATTAAACAAAGGCCTGTCTTTGAGGTAATGGGATTTGAAGAGAAGGGAGAAGGCAACACAAAATAATTGACTCGGGGAAGAGAGCTGTTTGCAAAAATATGATATAAACAAAAATATAAGCAGTTAACCAGGATGGCACAGACTCTTTATTATTCAGTGTACTTGCTCTTTACATCGTTCAGCACAGGAGTCCAGTAGTACTTTATTTTCCTCTGGAACATCTCGATATCTCAGCGTACAGAGGCTCCTTCATGAGAGAAATAACGGGCCCTGCTTCTGTAACATCCACACAAATAGTGCAAGTATCGGGGAATTAAGCCTTTAAACAGAGGAGGGGAGGGAAGTATTCATTTTCTTCCTTTGCTTTTGCTTCTTGTGAACATGATAGGGACTGAAATCAGGATTTTCATGCGTTCAATTCAGCTGCAGCTACTAACTTCTAGAGCATGAAAATGACGGCAAGGGAGAATGAGATGGATATGGGGTGTTACTGAGAAATAAGAGCAAGCTAACAAGACCCAAATGTGCTAAGAATGGAGAAAAGAGATGTGTATTTTTACATGAATACGGGAGACAAACTCAAATAACTAAGAACAATGATTTGGTGTGTGTGTGTACCTAATTCTTGCGTAGTTGCCAGCATTTTCCCAGACATTTCCATAACATTTCTTACAACTAGAAATGCTTGAAAACTACAGTGTATGACCTCATTTTGCTTAGCATAGCCTTGCTGATCAAATCAGCTGACTTGCATGAGGAGAAAGAAACATATTTGTAAGATACTTCTGGTATTTTGCTTGTGGGTGTTGCCTTAGCTTGCTTGTTTACTTCTATTTTAGTAACTGCTTGGAAAAATAAGGCAGATTTTCAAAGACATAATCAACAATTCCATACAACATAAAGGTAAGTTTGGGGTGATTATTATTATTTGCACTTAACAGCTAAGCAGAATACTTTATTTTATTACTGGACCATTTAACTTTATCTGCTGGTTATCTTTTTTCCTATTTTAATAAATAAATCACATTTTCCTTACTAAGTACATATTTCAGTCATCACCAGCAGTGGTAGTAATTGTTTCTTTTTTGAGACAAGTGTCACCTGTGCTGAATCAGATATTCTCAGAGAGCAAAGAAGTGAGTTGGTAGTGGGATTCGTTAGGAAGAACAGAGACATTTAGATAATAAATAATAAAAAAGTTAGTGATTGTTGAGAGCCCACTACAGTTTATGCCTTCTTGCAACAAATGTATTAAAAAAATTATGCTTGATCTTATCTGTTAGCGTATTTCATAGAAATCAGTCTGCACATACACACACACACACACACACACACACACACCTTCTGGCCTCTATCCCCCCCCCCGACCTTTCATATCTCCATAGGAGACAACCAGGTTAATTTACTCAGACTTTCCAGAAAGTATCTTTCATTGAAGTAAATACATTCTTATGAATATATCCTTGGATTTCTGGCTTAGGTTCATGATGATAAAGCTGCCTAAAGATTTCATTCATGTATATTATTCTTTAAAATAATTGTATCTAAACCTGGCCTTTTCATCCAGATTGGAATCTTCAAGTTAATTAATAATCTTGACACCACATCCACATTCACTGAAGTCTCAAATGAGGTGTACAGTGCAACATCTGCTGTAACACCATGGAATCTGTTTCCATAGATTTGGCTTGAAGATATGGATGAGGTGCTTGCAACAGTGTGGCCAACCATTTGTTTCCTCAACCCTTGACTCTCTTATTAAAGTTTGCCAAGGAGGTATGACCAGATGGATCAAGGGTGTGGTCAACACATCCTTGCAGTAGGGTGTGGTCCTGGCCACCTTGAAAGTGGCAGTGATCCAACCACGCCTGAAAATACAAGCACACCTGGACCTATCAGTTTGTGACAACTACCACAAAGTCACAGATACCCCCTTTTAAGAAAGGTGATTGAGAAGATTTCAGTGCAGCAATTGCAAGTGCTCTTGGATGAAACAGATTATTTTGACCTACTTGAGTTTGGGTTCAGGCCTAAATAAGCTTTGGTTGCCCTGATGAAAAAACAGTGCGGATTGTCAATTAACTTCCAGGCCTGATTCAAAGATAGCCAAACATTGGATATAATGTTCCATAGTTGCAAAAGTTAATGTTGTTCCTGGACTGAAGTAACACTTTTTGGATTCTGTTATTAGATATCTGAGCTGGCATCAAGAAGAGTTTGTTAAATTGACTCCTTCTAAAAAAGTAACTCTAGGATTACTGTATTTTAATATATTGTTGGAAGCCACCCAGAGTGGCTGGGGAAGCCCAGCCAGATGGGCGGGGTATAAATAAATAATAATAATAATAATAATAATAATAATAATTATTATTATTATTATTATTATTATTATTATTATGAAAAGGTATAGTTATATATAGTTTATATATATAAACCACAGAGCCTAGGGCTTACCGATCAGAAGGTCGGCGGTTTGAATCCCCGCGATGGGTTGAGCTCCCGTTGCTCGGTCCCTGCTCCTGCCAACCTAGCAGTTTGAAAGCACGTCAAAGTGCAAGTAGATAAATAGGTACCGCTCTGGCGTTTCCATGCACTACTATGGTTTGCCAGAAGTGGCTTAGTCATGTTGGCCACATGACCCGGAAGCTGTCTGCGGACAAACGCTGGCTCCCTCGGCCAGTAAAATGAGATAAGTGCCGCAACCCCAGAGTCGTCTGCGACTGGACTTAATGGTCAGGGGTCCCTTTACCTTTACCTTTATAGTTATATATGCTTACTTTCGAAATGCTTTCATAATTATGGGTCTTCCTATGCAGTAATCATTTCTAAATGTGGTCTTATGTATAATCACAGGTGTACTAAGAAAATATAAATTTATGCACCACAACACTGAAGTATCTTGAGAGCAGGGTTGTCATATTTCTAGAGGTAAAAATCCGGACAGCAATTACCCGCTCATCCCCCAGCTATCTGCCGAGCCTGAGCAATCTGAGCCAAAGCCAGAGTCTGGGTTGCCTGCGCCAGAGCCCAAGACAGGCCCACACCCAAGACTGAGCCTGAGCCCGAGCTGCCAGCATGCACACACAAAAATTAACACCCCCCCCCAAACAAGCACATTTGCTTTAAATTGTAAAAATCCCCCAGATTGGCATGTAGCCCCCCCAAAAGAGTACATGTTTGAGATTCCTAGACATATGGCAATCCTGCATGATACCAGACCCCAAAGGCATAATCAATGGAATACTGTAATAACACAGCTATCTATAGAAGCCCATTTTAAACCGGAAGCCCACCCACACTGCATTTGAAACTTGTAGGAATCAAGTTGTGTTGAGCTGTGGAGTGAAATGCTTTTATTTTCGTCCCTTGGAAAGAGCTTCTATATCACTTCTTAGACAAGTTGTATTATGCCTAGTATTATTCAAATGCAATCTTGTATTTTGAAAATAAAAGTAAAAATAAATATGAGGAGGAGTCTTTGTTCTCCTTTAACCAGCTAATAAACAGCATAAAAATGGTTTTAGGTACTATTGCCTATTGGTGATGTATGCCCTCCTAATGTGAGTGTATACAAAAAAATCCCTATTTTATAATACCCTAGCTTTATTAAAGTAGATGACTGTCTACATGCCAATTTCCATTCTGTCCATATACAAAAACTATATATTTACACATTCAATTTTCATGTTTTGATAACTGGATTTTATTTGTAACACATTCCTTTATAGTTGTGTATTTTTGTAGAGATGCTGAAATATTAAAGGAAATTTAATCTGTAATCTGACAGTCTAGTAAATAAAATGCCTTTGTATCAAAACTTATTCAATTAACTCAACTAATTGTATTACTAGGGTGAAGATGGATTGTCTCTGTATCATCTGGGGAATAATTTGGTTCATCATACTGTACTTTATTGGATGGCCCATAAGCATATTCTTAGGAGGACTGTATGGATTTATAGTTCCTTTAACTACTTTGATAGGTCTAGATGATGTTGGGGAAGTTTTGTTGAAGGGGGTGCATGTGGGGAAAGTGTGTGCTTCTAATGTACGCAGTGGAAAACCTCTCTGTTAACAACGAGACTACCATAATTACACAGCATGTATTGTTGTCCAGTGGCAATGAGGTTTTATATGAATATTTGGTTTTCATCCGTAAAGTATAAAGTTCCCAAATTGTATTTGAAACGCAATTCCTATGTATGTTGCATTTGTGTGTAATGCACTGCAAGTGGAGAGATCTGAATCAGAACCTCAGATTCTCAAACTGTGAATGTTCAGAAACTTGGATGCAAACAGCTTGCAAATATCTAATCAGAAAGAGGGAGAGTTATGAGATTTGTATTTCTCTGGTTTTGTGTTTTTTGCTTCGTGCCATAAATTATCTACGGTTTAAAACTGAGTCTCTCACTAAAGTGAATTTTGCATCTCTGTATACAGTTAATAATGTATAAATCAATCTGTATTAATTGTTGTTTATTATACTTGATTGTGAATATGCTTTAGAAACCATTGTTTTTGTTTCGGTTCTCTATAATGTAATTATTTAGGTATGTTAACACCATAAGACATAATAAAGCTACCTGAACTTTCTGTTTGTGCACACTGCATTTTAAATTCATATTACTGTTGTTGCTGATAAACCTTTACAGTATTTACTAAATAATATGAAAGGCCTACATTCTATTTATCTTGGAGGAACACATTAAACACAAGATGATCAGCTCAGAAGCCATTATCTATGTCAGATCATGGTTAATGTTATCAGATTGTCTCTTATATTTTCTGTGTCCCTTGCTAAGCTGCAGAGGAGAGTTTCTTCCTTATTTGTCACCCAGTCTGTTGACCTTTTAGAACAAACAATGGTTATTCTAGCTTATGCTCCTGCTAAAATAGGAATTGGGACATTTCATAACATATTGTATCTTATTTATAATATTTCGATAAAGCAAAATTGCAATGCTCAAGGTAGCACCCAACATAGTTTAAAAGCAATTATATAAATTCTTATATAAAAACTATAATCACAAAGGGGGTGGGATGAGGAATCTGTGGCTGTCCAGGTTTCACCGGACTCCAGCTCCCATTTTCCCTGATCATTGACCATGCTGGCTGGGGCTGATGGGAGTTGCATGTTAGGCACCAGCTGGAGGGCTCCCTATCACCAGAACAGCACAACAAAAAGAAGAACCTGAAACAATATAACCACCAAACCTCCACAAGATTCTCCAATCCATACGCCTTCACAAAAATGTGAGGCTTATGCAAATTTCTAAAGCTGGAGATAAACTTACATATACAATCTGCAGGAATTGTTCCTTAATATAACATTAATGCAATACAGAGAAAGCTCTGCTTCTTGTTGCAGAAGTTCTAATACTCCAAACTAATAACCAAACTAAGGGAACCTGAAGCAGAATTTTTGAAGTTGACCTCAGTAGATAGATGGGCCTATATGGGGAGAGGTGATATCTGGTGTAGTCTTCAGATGACAGTGGGGTTTAAAGTTCTCAACATCACTTTGAATATTGTCTGAAAATGTATGGGTAGCTAGCACAGTTGAGCAGCAGTGTGTTTTCATTTGCCTATGCTTGCCAAAAGCCAGGCTAGGGCTTTTTGGACGTTGCTGAAGGTTTTGGACTACAGCCTCCAGACTATCTTCAAGGAGAGCCCCACATGACAGAACACATAATTTGAAATCGTAAAGGATGGTTAACTTTTGCAAGCTTCTGATTGTCTAGGAAAAGGTATCACATATAAGCTGATAAACTATATTATTGGACCCTATCAAAGCCTGCTTATCCAACGGTAGTGTTCCAGGTTATGCATCCTGATAGTACAACATGCTTACCATAGAGGTAGTTCTATTACATTTGACCTCCCATCAGGCATCACTTCAATCTGCATGTGCATTCCAGTATTAATGCAGCTGTTCTCAAAACAATGTCATTAATTCTACCTCCATGCTAACACTTTTTGCAGTGCTAACACGGGAACTGTATATACTACCTTTATCCTTTATATGAAAGTGCAGTTTATAAATATTTAAATACTTAACAACTTTTCTCCTTTCTCTGCCCTGTCACTGAAAAGCACAATTAAAGCACTGTACAATTAAAGCACTATCATACCACTTTAAACTCATGACTTCCCCACAAAGAATCCTGGGAACTAGTTAATGGTGCTGAGAGTTTTTAGGATGCTTCTATTCCTCTCACTGAGCTGCAGTTCCCAGAGTTTCCTGGGAAGAGGGATTGACTGATAAACCACTATGGGGATTATAACTGAGTGAAGGAAATAAGATTCTCCTCCTAAATCTTAACACCCTTAACAAACTACAGCTCCCAGGATTCTTTGTGGGGAGCCATGACTGTTGAAAGCAATATACTACTATTTTTAAAGTATAGTGTAGATACTGAAGTTGCAAGAGGAAGGCATAGTGCAACCATTCCAGCAGTCTTAACCCTCTTCTGATTGTTCTCAAAAAGAAACATCAAAAGGTTAGACAGATAATAGATTGCATGTAGCAGTATATTTCTTCTTTTGGACAATGGGTGTGATCTCTGAGTATTAGAAAAAAACATTTGCTCTGGGTGCAATTCACATTCCTTTGGAAATAAAAGCACGTATTCTCATTTTAATTGGTCTGATATTCATCAATAAACTTTAGGTAAAAAAAAAAGATTATTGAAATGACAAATGCAACTCGGGGAAAAAACTTATTAAATAAATAAATGTGAAAGTATATCATTATAAACGAACCATTAGGGAAACAGAATTTCAGGACAGCTTAAGAGAGCATGAAGTCTTAATGTCTTAATGGACTGTGTTCATCTAATTTACAGAAGTCAAATGACATACTGAAATTTCCACTACATATTTTTATTTATTTATTGTTCAATTTATATCACACTTTCCCTCTGAATAACTCCAGGCTCTGTACATGGCTCTCCCGCTCCCCACTCTACCCTCACAGCAACTATGAGTAGGTTAAGCTGAGAGATGGGGACTGGCCCAAAGTCACCCATGACTGGAGGTTTGTCCAAGCGCCCCTGGAAAAGAGACACAGCCCACTCTAAAAAGTCAATGACATTGCAGAGTAAGGCACAGATAGGAAACCTTTGGCCCTCCAGATGTTGGACTACAACTCCAATTATCCCCAGTCATTGGTTGTGCTGGCAGGGGCTGATGAGAGTTGAGTCCAACAACATTCAGTGTTCATGTGAATAAAATAACTCTCAAGACCGTGCTTAGATTATAGAGAAGACAGAGGGCTCCAGACATCCTTTCTTTTTGTACCAGCTTCCCTCAGCTACTGTGTTGATTTGGCTAAAATTGGGGGGTGGTTGGGGAAGGAGAAAGAGGGGTTATAAGGCCTGCCCCTACCTTAACCCCCTCCAAATATTTGGCAGCAGAAAGATGTTTAGGTAACATAATGCACACATACACACCACACCTCAGTTACACACATTATTCTCGGTTTTAGTCCCCATCTTACATAATTACCTATTCTGATCTGTCATGAGCAGGTGCCCTAGTAAGGCTGAACAGGAGAAGTGGAGTGGTACTCTAGTCTTTTAGATTTCCCTAAGTGTGACATCATACTGGTTACTTAGAAACAATGATGCTTTGAACAGCCTGTAAGCATTCTATGAGGGGATGCCTGGATTTTTTTTTGTAAAGTCCTTCTCTTCAAAAGCCTGCTGATGTCTTCAGATCACAGTGAACACCTGAAAACTAAATGAGCCATTTTAAAAGAGAATTGTGGGATATTTATATATATACGAGGTAAGCCATTTATTTATTTCTTTGAGTTAAATGGGCGAGTAAAGAATAAGAACAAATAGTGGCAAAGTGGTTTGCAAGTCTGTTGTGCCCTTCATAATAGATATAGTAACCCTGTTTCCAGCAGTGACCTGGTGAGATTTAGTAACCTGGTAAACTGTAAAGACCAGCAAGCATGAATGTTATAGTTGCTTAGGGAACCATAAGCTTGAAGGAACATGATAGTCCCAACATTTTATTTCAACATTAGAAAGGCAGAGAGGTAACACAGAGAGATGTGAAGCCCTATAACAACAACTCTGCCATTTTGTGTGTGTATCCTTTCCCCCCATAAGGACCTAAATGGAAAAATGAAAAAGGCTGGGGGGTGGGGGACAGGGAACCCCCCAAAATTACTAAACTTGGGTTTTCATAGGGAATGAAACATCATTTAAAACCAATTGCAAACCACTGCCTAAATTGGCTTGCCAACCCACATACCTCCATCATACCTGGCTCAGGTTTCAACTTCTTTGCCCTCATGATCCATCCCAAAATGCCTCCATTCAGAATTTTCAGTCTCCTGGATTTGGTAGATGTACAGTGGTGCCCCGCAAGATGAATGCCTCACAAGACGGAAAACCCGCTAGACGAAAGGGTTTTCCGTTTTGGAGGTGCTTCGCAAAACGAATTTCCGATGGGCTTGCTTCGCAAGATGAAAATGTCTTGCGAGTTCCTGCAGGGTTTTTTTCCTCTCCCCCCCTTTTTCCCAAGCCACTAAGCCTCTTATCAGCTGATCCGCTAAGCCGCTTAACAGCTGATCGCTAAGCCGCTTATCAGCTGATCCGCTAAGCCGTTTAACAGCTGATCCGCTAAGCTGCTAAGCCGCTTATCAGCTGATCCGCTAAGCCCGCTAAGCCGCTAATAGCGCTAATCTGCTAAGCCACTAATGGGCTTGCTTCGCAAGACGAAAAAACCGCAAGACGAAGAGACTCGCGGAACAGATTCTTTTTGTCTTGCGAGGCACCACTGTAAATGAACGGTAGAGTTATGTGTCATCCACATAGTTGACATTTTAACCCAAGGCTCCAGATGACTTCTTACAGCAGTTTCACAGGGATGTCAAAAGAAATCTGGTCAAAAATATGTCAGGGGACAAAATAGAACCCTAAGTCATCCCAAAGGTCAAGTCCCCCGACCATTCAAAAAGGATCCAAGCAAAGTTAACTCCATGCCTCTTGAGTCCCATCTTGACAAGACAGCCCAGAAAGATTGTTTAGGAGTATAATCTGGGAGTTTTTCAAGTGCCTTAATCCTGCAGAAGGATGGCTTCCCCCTTACCTAGGGTCAGACTTGATGTGGCATTGTTCATGTGACCATCATGGTCCTGAACTGGAGTGACCCAGGCGCAGCCAGCTTTTATTCCGAGGCGGGCCATAGTAAAGACTTCCTGACTCCAATCTGCCAGCCAGGATCCACCCCATGATTAAGCAGTTCGAAATTCCAGAGTGGGTGGGTATCCTGCCAGCCCAAGCTGCTGGCTGTGAGAGGTCTGGTTGGCTTCCACCCCTTGGGGACAGTGGGGGGCCACAACCAGCCACCCCTGCCCACCCCCAAGCAGGGCAAGCGGTCATCTCCAAACCATTGCCAAAAGCAGCCTCTTGTACAAAACATTGCAATAGCCCAGATATAATGCCAGTTACAAGAATTCACTGGCTATCAAACTGTGCAGTGTCAATTCTTTCCGCTCCATAATTCACATTAACTAACCCCCCCCCCAAGAAAACTATCAAGAAATAGTGTGGGTCACTTGGTCAAGAAGGATAGTG